ACTCTGCAAATTAGCTGATAAAGTTGTAGCAGTTGGACCCAAGCTGGCTGAAACCTTCTCAAGATATCTCCGCCCTAGTGGAAAAGATCAAGATGTTATCAACCTTACCCCAGGCATTTTCTCTGAGTTTTCTGATGTAAAGCAAGCCCATGGCGAATTAAGTTCATTCAGTGTTTTAGTGTTTGGGCGAAGTGACAATGAAGACTTCCAACTGAAAGGATATGACATCGCCGCTAAAGCCATTGCTGAGTTGAAAGACAAGACCTACAAACTAACGTTTGTTGGAGCAACAAGTGGAGAAGAAGAGCAAGTAGCAGACATGTTACTCCAACAAGGCATTGACCCAAGTCAACTCAAGGTACGTCCTTTTAATGAAAACAGAGAACAACTAGCTGAATTACTTTGTGAGGTAGATCTTGCGATAATGCCATCCAGAACTGAAGGCTTCGGGCTAGCTGCCCTTGAGGCTTTATCTGCTGGTCTGCCTGTGCTGGTCAGTGAAAACTCTGGTCTTGGAGAAGCTCTGAAGAAAATTCCCTATTGTTCAAGCTGCGTGGTAGAGTCAGAGAATCCCAGGGAATGGGCCAATGCAATCAAAGCTGTCCGTCGCAAAGACAGGGAGATGCGACTTAGAGAGTCTGAAATGGTACGTGCAGCATATGCAAAAGAGTACAGCTGGAAGGAACAGTTGGATAAACTTGTAGAAAAGATGAAAGTTTAATATCTCGCTGGTAGGTAAGTTAAATAAGTTACAGTGAAACCTGTATTAAGCAAATACCCTCTGGGAATGTTCTAGTAACCGCTTAATACGGGTGCCCACTTAATAGAAAGTAGGCGTCGTTTCGTCACGTTGCTATGGTAGCAAAATTTCTGGATCTCAACAAACCACAGTCCTGCAAATATGGTAGAAAAAACGAAAAAATTGTATAAACGTATGACTTTCCTGTGCATGATTGCACCCAGGAACAAAATGGTAGTCCATACATTGTTCGACAATGCAAGTTGCCGTCTCTGTCAAGAAAACTTTGTTGAGATCCAGAAATTTTGCTACCATGGCAACGTGACGTCCCACTTCTCTTCATACAGTTTTCGATAGAAAACGTCATGTGAGTAGTCAAATACTATTCAAATGAACGGAGGAAATAATAGAGAGGAGAAGTCGTTACGTCACCTTTCCATGATAGCAAAATTTCTTGATCTCATCAAACTTTGGTCCTGCAAATATTGCTGAAAAAAAAAAGAAAAAATTGACATGTATCACTTTCCTGTGTATGTTGCATTCAGGACCGAAACGACAGCTCGTACTTTTTTTTCATCGTTTATCATGGTAACTTGACGTCACACTTCTCCTCTCTTTCGAGATACTCCCAGAGACTATAGCGGTATACGTTTGCATTAATTTGATTCTTTATTGAAGTAGTTCAATCCTTTAGACGTAAAACAAGCTGACTTTACAAACAAACAAAATGATAAAACAAATTGGTAAAACTGATCAACGGGTAATAAAGGGCTTGGAGTACTTATTGCAACGTGAGTTATTTCCTTGTAACTGGTAAGAAGAAAAACTGACTGAAGAAGGATTTATTGTATACTTAGCTGTAAACACGTGTACGTGTATGCATTTCCAATTTCTTTTCTTCTTGTATATTCGACAACGTTGACGCAAATTGAAACATCTCTTGTCAAGTCTCGTTTTGGACTGTAAATTCGACAAATTTGTGAGAGGAAATCCTTAGCATTTCCGGTGTCTGATGTCGTGTTGGAAGGTGCTTGGATAGTGGAACCTAGTTTAAAATGTCTGTTAAATACACGTTTGTAAGAATATAAATGAGCATTTCATCCACTCTTTCGGTGTCCGCGTACGCTTAAAAGAAGTGTTATTTACGGGAACTAAGGGAAATAAATTTGGGGACATTGGTTACTCTCCCTTTCGCTTAATACAGGTTACAGTCAACTCTCACCTTGCGGACACCTCGCTATAACGGACATCTCGATGATACAAACAACAGCTAAATCCCAGTCAAAAATAAATTACAGATGCTTGACGAAATACACTTCCGTTTTTACAGCTTTTTACGGACTCTCGCTAATCAAGGTCCCCATGGTGTCTGCTATATAGCGAGTTGACTGTACGATTCCTTAGTACACGTAAGATGACAATGGTATGATATACGTGTACCGTGTCAGTTATTAAATGTGAGAGCAATTTCTGAGAGTGCTAATTGAAGGTACCCAATTCTCAGCTAACTACTAATTTTTTGGCCAAATATCAGCTAACTGCTAACCCCATTGGCACCCTCATTTCTATATGCACCACACATTTAGAGGCAGAATTTATAACAATTATCAACAGTCGCATCTCCGTGTTGGCAGAAATTTCCACTAATGAGAATGTTGCTAAAGAAATTGGTTTGGATGGAAGAAATATGTTTAAAACATTAAAAACTTTATGTAGCTTACCGGAGGCATAAGAAATCAACAGCAAAGTCGATAACCTCAAATCAACTGAGATGGTATGATTTTATTTTGTGTTATTTTTCCACAAAAGGCTTTACTTTGTACCAGATTTCAAAACAACGAGAAGAAGGACATTTGGACGGACATACCAAGAGCAGCCTCTATATCCTAACTGCGAAAATTGCTTTTGTGGCTTCATATAGGGTTTGGCGGAAAACAAGTCCGACTACGCACAGTCACCCTCTTTGTGAATTCACTAGCAGATGAACTGCCTAAAAGTTGGTCCACAGTCTGAGCAGATCAGTGGGTTCTAGTCTTATTACCCACGCTCAATCTAACAATCCTCATGTGCAGAATCAGTGTAGTAAAGTCAGTGAAGACTGGTTTACATTAACAGATCTTTGCGACGCTTGAGTGAATTGTTCCTCGTTGACAACGGTTAGGTCCTGATTACATGAGCCGGGCTTGCTCTTTTTTACCAAAATCAGTCGCGATACGTTAATTGAAGGCAACAAAAATCAACTTACTTTGTGATTACTTGACAATCAAGACAGTCCGGTTTGCAGGGATCCCGGTATGAAGATGGCGTAATACTAGGATAAAAGTGGCCTCGACAAAGACAGCCGGTCCAGCTCAAGTGATCAGGCCCTCAGATTGCAAGTTAACATATGTGACTTTAGAAAACCTTGGTTGAAAATGGATTATCCTCAGTCATTTTGAAGCCACTGTAACTTTTAAGCAGGGCAAACTATTTGATAGGTGTCATGAAATTGCTGTTGCTTTGCACTGTGTCTAAAGGTAGAAAATGTTTTTAGTTTGGACGTTTTGGATATCGGTAACGTCAAAGATGTTAAAATGAAGAACTCTAATTACTTTGGTTTATCAAGATCTATTTTAAACTACTCTCGAATTCGAAGCTTTTTCTTGTTCAATTTCTGACACATTTTTTAAGGTTTCTAATTTTTTATCTGTAAATATTATTTGTAAACAGTATTAGCTGTAAATATATTAGTTGTAAATATCTTATCTATCGTTTTTTTACTTTAGATCATTTATTCATTACTACTTGATGAATGAACTAATTTTTACATCATATCGCGTGGTAAACGATAGTCAGGTCAGACTCCCTTCGTCGAGTATAAGGAAAATAATCATTTTTGAATTAGCTTAAAACTTTTACTTATATTTTTTCATACAGGTACACGTTTTAAGGACTCGATAACATGCGTGCTCCTAAGGTGTTACGCGTTTATAATAAATTAGATTGATTGATTGATTGATTTTTTAAAAATGCCTTACCGAATGCAGCCTTATAAACTGAACGTTCCTTTTACTCAACCGAAATGTGAGCTATAATTTTTCTTAACCATCCTAGTTTTGTGGCGTTAAAGCGCTGATGTGCTTTTCTCGGCGTTTTTGTAAACCTGTATTTTAGTCCGAGGGAATAATTTGGAAACCGCTTGTTGGATTGTTTTTAATTTGACGTTACAGTTGAACCTCTCAGTCCGCAACGGCCACCTTTGCGACAGAAGAAAGTGGCCGTTGTAGAGAGGTCAAAACAAAAGTCAATTTATGCACTGTCCGCCAAAAAAACTGGCCGTTGTAGAGAGGTGGCCGTTAGTAGAGGTTCGACTGTACCTCGGTGAAATATCTTCCTGACTGCACTACCCAGACAAACCTCCGCAGCATCCGCAAATTTAGTTCTTTAAAGGTGTCGGGAGATTTACACAGCGGCACAAATGCTCAAGAAGCAAGACGCCCCAATCAGAATCGTGCTGCCTTTCAAAGACCAGAAATCTTCTGACGCAGTATGCAGACAGCTTGGAGACCAATGAAGATATCCGCCCGGAATACACAAGTCGAAAGATCAAGACGAAATCAAATGAAAGTGAGGGAAGACAAGCCAACTCTTGTAAATCAACAATGCGTTGTGTATCACTGTTAGTGTTACACGTGCCACCACCTTCACCAGTGAAGGGAGCAACACAAAATAGTCCCAAATTACATTATAACTTATCTTATTCACTGACATATTTTTTTGTCACATTTTAGCGTTCATGACATTCTTTAAATCTGTTTTGACTTTTTTGCCCCCGCAGGCTTCCAGCCCAGAGGCCGGAACCCTACGAGGCACCCTAAATTCCCTGTGTAGAGAGGATTCAAACCGGCGGTCGTAGAAACCGAAATCCGTCGTAGCACTACAGCACAGTGGATTCAACTGCAATTTAAGTTTTCGTTTTTCATATAGAGCGATTTTCGTATGACCTTGAAAAATGGTTTCGGTAATTGTTCGTTATTTGTTTGATCAGCCAATGGATCAAAAGATCAAAACATGGACTCTTCGTTTTCCCGCCAAAGAGAACCCTAATATGCAGAAGGCAGTGTTCGATGGGCCAATCGTGTTGCAGTATGATGTGAAAGCGAAGTAGCTATTGATTTCTAGAAAGTTCTCGGGCATGAAGTTTTTTCACCCGAGCGTTCGCTTAACCAACCAAGAGTCACGCGCGTTTGTGTCCGTTCGATAACCAATCAATCGCTCTATTTCCGTTCGTTTGTTGTTTCTGTTTTGTTCGCGCGTTTTCATTTCAAGGTCATACGAAAATCGCTCTATATACTTAGTGACAAACCTAACAGTAAATGAAAGCTAACAATTTCTAGTCAGTGCTTAGCCCTAATCACTATTGTCAGTGCTAAACTCTAGTCACTATTATGACGTATTTCGCGAAGTTTTAAAATGTCATAACCTAAGAGCATAGAAATAAAGAGAGAACGTTTTGAACGTTAGAAGAATTATTAAATAAACGTCATATCTAAGATGGGGGCAGATGTAGAGAGAACTATTGCTAGTTGTTATTTATGTATGTTAATTTCGTGTTAAACTTTGTAGTTTTACTTGCAATAGGACATTTGCACGATGGCGTCATTATAATACTACGACCATTATCCTCCAGTTTTCGCTTTTCCGTTTCATACTTATTCAGGGCAGACGCCATGGCAGTACTCGTCTCAATGACATTTTCGCCGCTGCCACAGTTAACACTTCCCTTGGAAACGCTGCAGTGTCTTTAAACCTATCGAAGACTTACAAGCAAGGATGTTCTCCCTCAAAACGGCAAAGAGCTCAATCTTGCGACGGGAAATCAGGAAAGCCTGTTTCTCAGAATCGATGACAAAACCCTGAGGCTCAAGCGTCGTAGTGGGAGACAACAGACTTTTTATACCAATGGTATAACCCACCAATACAGAAATCAAAACGAACAAAGCTGTCCTTGCCGCGCGTAGCCGGTACTGTCTTGTCCTGCTAGCCGGGAGTAGGGACGATGTTATAAGTAACCTGTTCAAACAGTCATCGATATACAAAGGCACACCCTTCGCTCTCAGGAAACCAGAAGCCGATAAACCAAAAGAGTGGTATACAGAAGGGAAAATTTTCCATCCAAAAGGTAAAATCGTACAGACCAAACATAAGCCCCCAAAACTAAACCCCAAAATATGTCTGGGAACTTTGAGAGAGGAGTAAGTGATCATAACCAGATTTATCGTCGCACTTGGTCATAAACGAACCCTCATAGACATATCTGGGCACATCCACTAGTCTATTAAGGGCAAAAGGCATTTCCCTCATCCAGAGGTTCAAAAATATGGCGTCAATGCAGAGTCTTATATTTTAGCTTAGACGGAATTCAACAGCCATGAGTGAACCAGTTGTACTAAATTCTATAATCAAACTCGGTCGCAATCACGCAATGAAATAAACACACACACGGAACACTTAGTTCAAAAACACAATGATTTGCTTTAATTCTCTGAAAAGAAGCTATTTGGTCCTTAATGAAGAAAAAAAAAACAAGGAGACAAGAAAGAAAAGCTAACAGAATCATTACACTTGACGGTAAAAATAGCAAGAAGATCGAATTATAACATATATCTCGGAAAACTTCGCGCAAACAAAATCATCGGCGGCCGAAACCACAAAGCAGCTCTAAATGAAAACCTACCGACTCTCCGCAACGATTCTTCATTCGCAGTTCAATTTAGCATTTCATTTTCGAATACAAGGACAATTTTGCTGTTTAAGATAAAGATTAAGCTTATCGAAATGTTTGAACTAAACGAAAGAATGCCAGAGATGCGATCCGCTGAACATTAAACGACAATCCCGCTAAAATTGTTCATAATTATACATAATTATGAGAATGTTTAGAAAATCAACCAATCAAAATCACTACCCGGTTTTCGGGTAGTGAGTGACGTCACTAGACGGCATTAACGGCTGGTCGATTCAGACGTTGTTGAGAGGAGAAAACGACTCGAAGCAATCGGATGAATTTCAGGCTACTGAAACCTCTGGTACAGACACTTCCTTCCTACATCAAACACACGACGCACTTTCTACTCAAACTCCAGCAACTTGGTCCACTCCCCAGCAATGCTATCCTCATTACGCTTGATGTTTCGTTATCATATACGAACATACCACATAACGAAGGTATAGAATCCTGTCGCCATTTTCTCAACATGCCTTCCCCAAAATCACTCCTTTCTGAAAGAATATGCGACCTCATCCAAATGATCCTTGGAATGATTCACTTCAATTTCAACAACCAACACTTTCTTAAAACTCCGCGGGACAGCTATAATGGGAACACGAATGGCGCCTTCATACGCTAACCTATTCATGGGAACATTGGAAAAATCTGCAATCGAAAACGCCCTTTCAAACCTTACGTCTGGTGGAGGTTTATTGATGACATCTTGACAGAAGGAGAAGACAATCTTCAAACTTTCCTAATATAATTTAAACTATCCTTCCAACAATCAAGTTTACACACGAATATTCAAATTCTTCAAACTAGAGTCTTCCCTTCCTCCTAGATGTACAAGTCCATCTCGACAACAGCCTAATAGAAACTCATCTCCGCACAAAACCCACAGACAGGCACCAATATCTTCTAAAAACCTCCTGCGATCCTGCTCAGAAGAAGCGCACCATCCCTTTCAGCGTCGCCTTACGTCTGTGTCGCGTCTGCTCTACTGACGATTTCTTCAATAAACGCTGCAATGAACTTATAAACTTTCTGGAACTACGAGGATACAGCCGCCACTTTCTTAAAAAAGAAATTAACAGGGCACGCATCATCCCACGTCAAGAAAATTTTGAAACCTCAACCACAGAACGACAACTCAAACCGCACTCCCTTTGTCATCACATATAATCCGGCTCTTCCTAACGTTCCACCACTGTTCGGAAAAATATAAACATTCTTCAATCATCCAATCGCTGCAAACAAATATTTCCGTCTCCACCCATCCTTTGTTATAAAAGGAGTCCCAACCTTCGTGACCTACTTGTTAGAGGCACTTAACGTGCTGGGTACCAGAGGTTTCTCGAGTACGACGGGGAGCTTCGTTTCGTCGGCTCATCGGCCGAAGGCCGCAGACACGAGCGGCGAAGCTTTTCGCGCGGGCCGGTCACTTTTTAGGACTTGATCGAAACCAGAAACCGCGCATGAAAAGCCTCTGGCACCCCGCCAGGGTAGTCATTGTAGCATGCAACAAGAAAAACTATCTCCCAGCGTTTCAAAATGCAATCATCCACGCTGCCTTACCAGTCCATTTTTAAAACACGGTCAAGCCAACTTCACCTTCACCTCCACCAAAGAGAAACGACGTATACATGACCTCTTAAACTGTAAATCCAAAAACCTTATTTATCTCACTGAATGCAAAAAATGCGGCAAACAGTACATTGGGGAGACCAAGCACCATCTCCACGAACGCTTTGGGGAGTATCGCCGCTTCATTCTCAACTATGGCCACTTTCCTAATCCTACTCCTGTCTTCGAACATTTTAATTAAGCCGATCACGCTATCAACGACGTCCTCATTATTCCCTTAGAACTAATCCGTAGCAACCGTGACTCTGTCAGAGAGGCACGCGAGGCTCGCCTCATTGACAAAGCTATGACTTTAGAACGTCATGGTATAAACAGACGTGATGAACTCAATTAGTGACAGGATCAGCTGAGTTATCTTTTTAGTAGCCTATCATTTTCAGTTTGCTATGT